AGTAACCTGTCTGTCTTTGAACCAGCAACCTTGCTGTGTTACAATTCTTTTTCTTACAACAAAGACTATAGCCTGGGGAAAATTTCCTGTCCTTTGCAAGGTTAACATTTGAAACTGCAAGGTTTTGGAAAACCAGGCCCTGTGAAATGTATTTTCTTTATGTATACTCCATACAGATGAAGGAAAAAAAACTAGTCTTGAATTACAGATGGTTCTGGCAATATGCTGGCACCACCTAAAAGGGGATGGTTGCAGGACAACAGCCCAAATCAGGCATGGCCCTAAAGGACAGTGGTGAAGAAAAGTTCTCAATTGTTTTCAATCCTCTTGAGAAATGGTAATATTCAAATTTGACCTGTCTTTTCAAACTTAAATCTATGTATGAGTACATGATACATATGGAGTGAATATCCCTAAAGTAAAAATTAATAGTCATGTGTTCTGTCAAATCTGAGCCTCAAAAACATCTACTCTATCTTCCTATGATCTTGTAGTCATGTAAGATCGTCAATGCTTTTCTTGTCTGTGAAGAAACATGTGTGTACTTTAATGCAGGTACAGAATAATCAACTAAGCAACTTTTTAAATAAACTGCTATGACAGGGTTTGGGGGGGCTATATACAAGCAACCAAGTAGCATTATTTTCAAGACAACACAGCGATATGAAAACTACAGACCAATATGTGATTGGCATGGGTGGTAGTTGGCACAGAAAATATATTACTTGCTCCTAAGATGTATATAGATAACACCACAGCTGTGTTGATTAGGTTTTAAATCTGCATGTAAAAAGAAGGGTGTTATTAGCAAAATCACTGGAAGAAGGTGGCATTTGCCTCCTCTACATGATGTCATTCATGCAGCATGGTTACGAAGGTTAAATTCAGCATCAGTGTGAGCAAGGTCATTAAATTCAGCAATTCTTTTTTCTTTCGTTTAAAGCACATCAACTCTTTGGGAGAATCATAATGTACTGAGAAAACAATCTCAGTTTTAATGAGTCTTTTTTATCTAAGGAAACATGATTAATGAGATTCTTAAATCCAGGTTGGTCTACTAGGGTACTTCAAAAAGTTTTGTGAAAAGATTCATATTATCTGTTAATTCTATTTTTCCATGAACTTTTTGAAAGACTCTCACATTTGAGGATGTCAGGAGTATGTGTGGCTTGCCATACCTACACCGAGACGG